GTTTTCTTTTTCTTACTTTTTCTCTTGAGATAGAGAAATAAAACATTATAACTGAATGTCCCATACACTTTTCTTACCTCCTTCCCTAGAGGCAAGCATTATCCCCAGATTCTGATGTCTCCTCTGCACATTTTATTTTTATTCTTACTATAAATATGTATATAACATTTATGTGTAATGTATAGTCTTATACGCTTTCATACTTTAAATATTTGATATTGTATGTCTAATTCTGCAACTTGCTTTTCACCCAACATGCTTTTGAGATGTATCTGTATTGATATATATAATTCATTTGAACTGCTGTAGGACTATTTCAGAGTTATAACACAATGTATTTATATTTATCGACTCTTCTGTTGGTGGCTGTTTACGTATTTCCTCTTTTTTTTCTAATTACAAACAATACTGTGGCGAACATTCTGTTTTTTGGTTTTTTGGGGGTTTTTTTGTTTGTTTGTTTGTTTTGCTATAGGGCGCCTGCGCTCACCAGAGAGACAGAGAAACACAGAGACAGAAAGCAAGAAATCATCCCCCCAGGGGGATGGCCACACCGTAATCCCTTCTCCTCCATTCTCTTCCCAGGATCCTGGGCACACACACACACGTGCCAGGCGTGAGTTTAAGCCAATATGTCAAAGCTTCCCTGTGAGATAATGTTTGTATGAGGATTTAACACAATGGATGAACGCACTCTGTTAAATTAACATTCTCAGGGCCAGACAGTGGCACAGCAGTAACCCACAATGCTCTGCAGGGCTGACCCACATGGGAAAGCTCCAGGTTCACGTCCAGAGACCTGAGTATTCTGTGCACTTGTTCACGATCCAGGCCGGTGAAACTGGGCGTAGACTGTGGCACCAATACCCTGTTTGGGGGTGTACTCCCACCCCTCTCCCTCCCCCTCTCTGTGTCTCTCTGCCTCATGGAGGAAATAAATACATTTTAAATTTTTAATATTCTGAGGCCAGCAGATGGCGTACTGGTTACATTGCTGGATTCTAACATGGCCATTGATTGTTCAAGTCCCAGACCCCGTGGCTTGAAAATCACACTGAATACGTGTGCATGTATGCCCAAAATCCTGAGAAGAGAATGGAGAAGAAGAGACTGTGGCATAGCCATTCCCCCTGGGGGAGGGTTGATTTCTTACTTTCCCTCTCACGATGTCTGTCTCTCTCTGGTGAGCACACACAACCTATGGCAAATAACCTCCAAAAAATGTAATATGCTCATTACTGGTAGCAATAACAATGCCAGTAATGTGTTCGAGAAGTCACAGAGATTTCAAAACCACTATTTTGAAGACACGTATTTGAGCGTGTATGAATCATCTAAGTTGAGATGAAGAATGAACATGTAGACGCCAACCAGAACCTGGTCAAGTTTTTGATTCAGTGGCTGATGCTCTGCAGGGTCTGAGGCGAGCTGAAAACCTAGTTGAAAGTGCTGGCACTTGTAATTTAAGATACATGCCAAGTAGACCTAAATAGCAAGGGAACGCGAGAAGAGAGGTACTAAGAGGGAAAATTCCTGACAGGTTCAGGTTAGCTTCTCACTGCACAAACCCCTGAAGCTCATCCATCCCCAAGATTAGACAGAATTCGCTGTCGATAGATGAGATTTTCCAAAGTCTTTTTTTTTTTTCCAAAAAAAAAAAAAAACTAGCAATTTAAGGCCAAGCCAGAGTCAGGGTTTTCATTTATATCAAACTGCTACTTTTTTCATCATTACTCATCGAAAATACTCAGACAATACCTTGTCAGAACTTGCCCTTTGGCTAAGTGAAATGAGAATGAGAACTCCATCTAAACTGAACGGCAGGGTCCCATGTGGGTGCATGGCAAGGCTTCAGCAGGGAGAAATAAAGCAAGGGTCCCTCCCCTCCAATTGTCAACTAAGTGTAAAGGTCTCAGATTGCGCCACCTGCCTACCAAGTCCAAAGCAATACTTCCAACAGCCCTAGGGGGGCCCAATGCCGTCACTATGGTCACTCAGCCAAGCACCCAGCATACACTTGGAATCAGAAGAACACAGACATCTTTGATTTATAAAGAACTTGGAGATCATCTCATTTAAGCCACTTGTTCTCCAGCCATAATAAATGTCTTGCCCAAGCTCCCACAGTATGTACTGTGACCTACAAAGACTTCAAATTGTCCATTCCATGCCCTTTGTCCTAATCATGTGGCTTGTACATACTGCCAATGCACCGTGATTTTGAAAAAGATTGAGTTTTAATTTTCGCGTATTAGAAGTTGCCAAAACTTTTCAGCATGACTGCGCCCCAACACAGCAGTCTCTGGCCATGGCACCATACTCATCGGCAAGTCTCGTGGAGCAACTGGAAGACAGGAACCTCTGCCATGAGCAAACCACTGCCGCTCTTATGAGGCACACCTTCTGATCTAAGATGACATCATCAACAGTTTGCAAAAAATGCAAAACGAAGAGGGAGGTGACCGCTTGACCAGGCTGTTTTTTGGAGGAGCACATCAGAAACATAACGTCCCTAGTGAAGCAACTCAGTCGGGACATGGAGGTTCTCCATGGCAGATCCATGGCAGGGACAATATTAGCTATAGAACTAACTCTGCCTTAAAGACCCTGGAGGTGTGGCAGCTCTCTGGTTTGAGAGATCTTCGAGGAAGAGGGGCAAACTATGCCTCCAGTGTCGACAGACTCTCCGCAGACCACAAAACCAGCTCCAGGGGCTACAACACCTGAACAAAGCATCGAGCTGCCACGCTTATTCTGGAAATGAACGTGAAAGACGGAGAGGGAGAGACATCTCAGCTTTTGAACAGAGTAGACTTGTCCGTATCAGAGCTGGGCACCAAACTGATGCTGTCTCACAGAGACAATAGTCACTGGTTTCAACCTCTGGATAACAAACATAAAGGAACAGCTGAGAAACTCCGTAATCAGATTTTATCTGCACGAAGTTGGCTGCGACAAGAACAGGAATGAATAGAGAAAGAACTTTTGCAGAAAACTGATTACCTTTCCTCGGTTGTTAAGGAATACAGAGGAGCCAGTGAAAGGGAAATAGAGAAGCAGCTCAACCTGATGTCAGCCAGACTCTACAAAAATCGAAGCGAGTCAGAGGGAAAATGTGGGTGGGCAGAGAGCAAAGCAAGATGAGGAGAAGGTGCACGGGCAAATTAGCAAGCTGGAATTACAGATGAACGAGGACGTGGAGAGGAGAGCAGAAGTCCACGCCGGGTTTACAGCCATCTATGAATGCACAGGCTTTCTTGGGCAAGTGCTCAAGGCCAGGAGGAAGCTGGACAACGACCATCTCCAGGAGCAAATCCAACAGATGCAGAAGCCAGAAGCCGCCATGGGAAGGGAATTGGGACAAGGACCTAAGGCAGGTTTTGCCAGTGGGACTAGGAGCTAGAGTCTTCTGGAGCCAGGCTGTCACTGCATTCAGAAGGGTTTCGTTTCCGGTACGCATGTGCCAAGAAATGTGCTTTTAGCAGCAGTACTTTAGATCTTCATTAGAAAGTGCCAGTGGAAGAGGATGTTAAAATTATCATTTGTGTGCTCTGTCTCTCTTTGAAAGGATTACCTTACCCCACTGATGTCAAGCTTAACCCTGCGAACTGCAGTGTAAACACTGGCTGTGGACCACTGATATGTCGCTTTTACATATCCTCAAGAACACGAATTTATACAAAAGGAATCAAGACCTGTGAGCCCAAAACTAAGATGTTCCACCTCAACACCACTTGCCCATAGACACACCTGGCTCCTAGAAAGGAGGCTAGAGTATAAGCGATAGAGATGCCCCACACACCAAACCCAAGCACTTGGGTGCTGAAGGTTCCAGCTCTCTCCACAATGGCAGTGACCCACATCCACTGCCCCAGAGACTAGCCAGCCATGGACTATATGAACCCTGGGTGCTGAAGGTTTCAGCTCTCCGGCTGTATGCCCATCCACAATGGCAGTGACCACATCCACTGTCCCAGAGACTAGCCAGCCATGGTCTATATGAACCCAGCAGTGAATTCCACCCTTCCAGGCTCAGAATGGTGGCATGACCCTCAGCAGAGCAAGCCGTTTGTCTTCTTCTCTTCCTAGAGAATAAATAGGACAATCATTTAGCTAATATATGAATACTTCAAAAAGTTTGTGAAGGAATGGAATTAAAATGAGTTATTTTTGATGCAAAAATTATTTTAAATTCATGCATAGCTTTTTTCATAATACTCATTTTCCATAAACTTTTTGAAGACTCCTTATATTTGCCGTGTGCCTACATGGGCAAGTTTAGGCCCAAGAACACAAAGGACACAAGTGAAGGAGCTGCACTCTATTTATATTTTAGTGCGGGAGACTGACAAAAGCCAAGAAAGGCAATAAACACAGATTTTGTGAAAAATATGGGAAGCAAATACAATGCTATTATTGTTAAGATATTACAACAAAAATTGTTTTCAGGTAGTAAAAAGACCTCTCAGAACTTGACATTTTAGCTAAGATCTGAAGGATAGGTCAAATTCGGCCATGAAAGAAAGATGCGGGGAAAGTGTGTTCCATGCAGTGGGGGAAAACTCAAGCTGACATACTGCAGGCAGCGAGTGTGACAGTGACCCCAAACTAAGGAACAGGGATTGGAGTATGAAGCAACAAGACCACAGAGGACCTTGTAGTTAATGGGAAGCCATTAGGATTTTATTCTGAAGAGCAGAAAGAAGGCAATGGGAACTCTTTTAAAGGCCACATGGTCTGATGTATGCTTCATGGAGATCCAGCCTGTGGCTGTGTGTGGAGGAGGGTAGGAGGTGGCATGGAGACCAGTGAAGCGGGTTCAGTTGAAGTGGAAGAGGCAAGAGACCACCGTGGCAAAGACCAGGATGAGGGAATGTTTGATGGACCTCTGATGGGACATAGTGATGGCCTGATGAGGGAGAAGAGAAAAGAGAACGCTGGAGAATGATTTACTGACTTGTTGCTTGGATGACTGGATACAAACAGTATCACTTCCTGAAATGGCAAAGAACATTGAGAAGAGAGGCAAAATTGGCAGGAAGAAAGAGTTCACCTTTAGGCACATTAAGTTGGTGAAATCTGTAAAATATCCAGATGGTGCCCAACAAGCAGTTCAATGTAAAAGTCTGGAGCTCATGGGCTGATCCCATCGCCTAGTGGTTAAAGGAGTCAGATCTTAGATGGTTGACCATGGTTTAAGTTCCAGCTCTGACAGCTAGAAAAACACTCTGGGACTATCTGCTTGTGTGCCCCAAATACCTACAGGATAAAGAAATGGAGAAGGGACGCAGCAAAACCACGCCCCATGATATTTCTCTGACAATTACAATAAATAAACGAATGAATGAGTGAATATCTGGAGCTCAGAGAACAAAGCCCAAATATGGACCGGGTGATTATCAAGGCAGATGGTGTGAAGAAAAGACATTCCACATACTGTCTAGAAAGTATCCTTCTAGAATTAAAAATTTACATTTTTCAAACCTATTGTAAGAGAGCTAAGACAAAGAGCCCTAATAGTTTGGGACTAGAAATTGGGCTTATGAACTTAGGTAGAAAAGGAGCTGTGGAATGAAGGCAGGCCTTTAAAAGTGTCGGTGTGCACATGACAGTTTAGGTACATAAATTCAATCGCTTACCTAGACACGTTCTAATATATACAATTTCCTTAACAGCTATTACATGAACAAATGCAATTCCCCACAACAAATATGGAAAATAACCTTTGCAGTAACCATAGCCCCAGTATTAAAGATTATATTCCACAGATGATTGCAAAAAAACTCTAAAGAAGAAAAATATCCCGGGAGATTTCTTAACTTGAGGCAAACAAACCAGTCAGAAATTCAATTTCACAATGAGAAGAACAGGTATATAAAGATCTAACCTTCAGAGAACTTTTAACCCTCATGGCTAATACACTTTTATTCTGTGCCTTTATGGTAACTGTTTGTAAATATTCTCCAGCTTTGTCTCTTGTCTTTAGAGTAAAGGATCAGGAGAAGCTCAGTGCTCTTTATTCTCCCATATACTTGTGTCAACAGTATCCCTTCCTCTCAAGATTTCCCGTTAAATAGCATTTCTCATTCAATTCCATGGTCTATAATTTCAGCTGTAATGTTAGCTAGCCAAGGTTGACTCAAAGTGCTTTGGGCTAGTAATTGTCTCTTTCCACAATGCACTCATTGGTGGGAAGAATCCAGTAAGAGAAGGCCTGGAATGGGGCCCTGAGGAACTCCAACATCAAAGCCAAGTTGGAGAGGGAGATTCTATGAGCAGACAGACAGGAGTAAGGTAGGAAGCACACCAAAGGAGTGTGCTATCAGAATTTTGCTGGGTTTTGGTGCCTACTATCCAGTTCTTTTATTTAAGTGTATTCAGTTCTTCCAAGAAAGAGACCCCACAACAAGACCTTCAGGTAGTGATCCATTTCCAGCAAGCCTGGACCACGGGCACAGGTGCACACATCCGGCCAGTATAGGAGACCTCAGGATGCAAATCTGGGACATTTCCCCGTGCCCTCGGCAGCATGGAACACTGTTACTGATACATCGCTATGGCAGCTTCAGTCCCTTTCTTGTTGTAATGGAACTCTAATGTTTTAGGAGAACTGCTCTTCCCTCACTCTAAATGTGGAATTTGGCTGAAGCCGATGCTCCCTTAGGTCTTAGGGGTATAGCATTTAACCGAGGTCTTAAACAATCCATCCCCTTGGCCAGAGCAGTTACTTCCAGGATGGACATAGAGCTTACTACCAAGTGATACTACTCCTAGGACTTCCTCGCTAGGCATAATTTTTCTTCCTAGTTTTATACATGAGCAATTAAGAAGTGGCATCAGACTGGCTCGCTCCATGGCCTGGTAGTTAAGGCAGCCAGATCTCACATGACCAACCCTGCAGTTCAAGTCCTAGACCAAGCAGCTTGAGAAACACATGGGTCCATATGTGTGTGCACATTTGCATATCACAACAGGGTGGAGAAGTGGAGAAGGGATTGTGGTATGACCATTCCACATGAGGGGTGCTTTCTCTTTTTCCTCTCCCTTGGTTGGTGTCTGTCTGTCTGTCTGTCTCTCTCTCTCTCTCTCTCTCTCTGAGTACATACCACATCTGGCAAAATTTTTTTAAATGATAAAAATGAAAGAGTGGCATCATCTCATCCCTACAGAGGGGCAGCACAGAGCCATACAAGAAAGAAACCAACCTGAAGAAAGCACAGCAAGAAACAGAGAAAGCAAGCAGCCCTGTCAGCACTGTCTGAGCCTCTGCACCAGACCATGCCTAAAGCCAGTCTCACCAAGACATTAATTATATGACCCAATAAATGATCATTTTGTTTAATCACATTTGGCCTGAATTTCTCTTACCAGCAAGGAAGCCCTAACGAATGCAGAAAGCAGGAGAAGAGACTGCCGGAAGGAGGGCTCAACTGTGGTACTTGCCAGTTAGAGGATCGCATGGAGTCAGCCGAGTTCCCATCGGACCTGGCAACACAGAGGCCACTGGGAGTCTTCACAAGGTGGGTCGCAGTGCAGGGGTGGATTGCAAACCAGACTCGAGTGGCCCTGTGTCACCCTCCATGCATGTGTACAATAGTCATAGCTTCTAATCAATGACGTGGAACAGAAAGAACCCTGGACAATGAAACAGAGCTAGGCTGGAGACACAGCTCAGTCACTAGCCAGCTATGTGACCTTGCACAAATTGTCCCCTTAGCTCTACCGGGCTTAACAGATTCTTCATCTATCAAGTGATCACACTTGCCAGGTTTCCAGGGCCCCCGCTTGCTCTAAAATTCTCCGTATTTTGCTATTTTCAGCAAATTTGTCCTGTTCCGAGACTGAGTGGAAGGACAAGACACCCAAATCTCCCCGTGTCTCATTAACATTCTCCCCTCGGCTCAGTTCTCTTAGGCTCGATTTTCATTTCCTAGTAATCAAGTCACTGAAAGCCACATCACAGTTGTGCGCTGCATGTGAGCTTGCGCAGAATACGGAGGTGGGCAGCCCTTGCCTCTAGCATCCTAGACCAAGTCTCTTCTCTGTGATCACCCACTCCACCTCTTCTCTCTTCTGGGGCCTCTATGCTACTTTTATGCCTGTCATCCCTCTCGCTGTTTACCAAAAGTACAAGCTACCATGTCCGGGAGAGTTTCACCAACTTTTTTTTAATCTTGTAGAAGACAAAGTTGTTTTGTTCTTTTTAATTTTCTGATGAGGTAGGATTCTTAGCAATCTCTTCTAAAGGATGTTGAATCCGCCCTGTTCCCTACTTTATACCACAGGCCAGCCTGTTGCAAATTCAACACTGGTCAAAAAAGGAAAATATGCACCAAAGGTCAGTAGTCATTAAAATGCATCCCTCTTATTTACTGAGTCATCAGATAAGTCACGACTCATTTGTCTATGCTTTTCTATGCAAAAATGCATCACGATTTTTCCAATGACCCAATAACAGAGTCAGGAGCAGGACAGGAAAGGTTAATTTTTCAACTGCATAACATACCAAATATATCAGCACTAACAATGAGGTTTATTTCCCTGAGTCAGCTTTAAAAATAATGTTGACTTTTATGGTCGATACATTATAGATCACCATATTTATGTCAGAACATATTGGCATGAAAATAAATCAATGAAAATATTAATACATGAGCTTTGCGTTTCAATGACACCTCTTGCAACTCCACACCTTCCCCTCGTATTTCACCGTAGGGCTTTCAAGACCTCACCTCTGACATGTTTTACTGAACACAAGATCAAGGCCTGTTTTCATTCTTCACGACTACTGCTTTTAATCTGTCTTGTATGTAATCAGATTCACAAATATCTACTTTGTTCTTTTATCATAAACACACATAGCTGCATTCCATCATTAACAGGACTGTCAATTCAAATTTACGGCTTATGCATGAACAATATATCTCAGAGCCAAAGCTCTGACTGATGTAAATGAAACTCTGTGTGTCAGAGACCAGCTTCAAATACTATAGTTGCTACGCACATTTGTTTTACAGTCAGAAAAGAATTTCTATTTTAAGTATGTGCTTTAGAAAGCGAGCTCATAATTTAGACATTATTAAAGAAAAATAGGGTGAGAAGAAAAATTTGTCCTCGTAAGTGTGTCTTCCCCTTTTGATGTTCTTTTGTGCTGATAGCACATGCCACGTACCTGCTCTCACGGCCCCCTTCTGGGGGGAACAATGTTTCTAGAAGACCCTGCAGACAGAGCAATCCTACATGATCATCCACCAAGTGTGGGCCTTCTTGTAACTCTCTGGGCTCCATCATGCCAGCCCCTGGGCATAATGAAGGGGCCACCCAGCCCACCAGTATGTGTGCTGACCCTTGGCCCTGAGAGGCCTGACCGCTGCTGTCCTACCCAAATAGGAAGGATAAAAAACAGCTGGGTCAAAATGTCTTAGACATCCTTGACTCTCTGTGCAGGTTAGGAATCTCCAACAGCAACAGCAGACAAAGGATGCCTTGAGAAAAGTAGAGTCAGGAGAAGCAAGGAGGAAGCTGAAACTGAACAGAGAGAAGCAACGAAGTAGGGAAATAACAGAAGAGTGTCAGCATTGGTTGGCAGCAGCAGAAAGAAGAGAAACTGGGATATCCTCAAACCCTGCCTCACACTCATATTTACTGCATAAGGTCATATTTATTCACCTCCTACATGTCTGCTCAACCCACCCATTTCTCACCTTGCTACGCGAGAGCAAGAGCTTCCTCACTTGTCTCCCAATGCACTCTGCCCTCTGCTCTCTGCACAACTGGGTTTTCCAAAATGCACATCTGAGCCTGTTTCTATGTATTTCTTACACACACACACACACACACACACACACACACACACACACAGCTAGTGAGACACACATGCAAACATTAAACCCTCTAGTGGCACAAAATCAATTAGATCTAAGAGAAAAGGCTTTCATATGCTACTACAGAAACCTTCATGACCTCAAGGTAGAAAGATTCTTAAGCCAGATATGAAAATCATGAACCATAAAAGATAAATTGATCATTTGAACTATATTAACATTAAGAATGTCTATTCTTCAAAACAATTATATATAGATATGCCGTATACTATTAAGTGAGAGAAAAGGCAAATCATGGAGTGGAAAAAATATTTAACATGAGTAACTGAAAAGACTTTTATTCTAAATACACAAAGAACTTTTACAAATCAATAAGAAAGAGACCACTCAGTAGGAAAGAAAACAAAAATGGGTAAAAAGAAGCTGGAAGAATCGCTTCACATAATAGGATCTGAGTCCTCTCCCAGGTAGTACATAGGGAGGAAGGAGGTAAGACCTCTAGAGGCAGAAGTAAAATGGAGTTTAGTGAAAAAGAAAAGTTATCCCTTGGGGGATAGGTGGCATGGTGGTTAAGGGCACTGGACTCCCACATGGCTAATTGTGGTTCAAGTCCCAGACCTGGCAGCTCACTTTCTCTCTCAGGAAGGAAGGAAGGAAGGAAGGTAGGTAGGAAGGTAGGTAGGTAGGTCATCCCATTAAGCTATCTTCTCTTTCTGATGTTCTTCTGTACTCACAGGACATGCCATGCACCAGCTGTTACAGACCTCTCCTGAAAGGATCTGCCCTTCTCAAAGCCCCTGCAGAAAGAAAACCCCAAATGTCCATCCATAGAGTATGGTCTTGGCCAGTGAAAGGCGGGAGCTGACAGGTAGCTGCCTTCCTGTTTCTGTCCCTGAGTGGATTTGGCTGATACAGTGGGTTCCAATTTCAGACTCTCAGAGGACAGTCTTTGGACTGAGTACACAGCAGGCCAATTCAATAATGCATCTTCAAATCCTCCTGTTGGTTCTCCCTTGTTTAACAGGTCATTCCCATTGTCCCTCGCTCCTGTTCCTCAGAATTACACTCCCAAATAGAATAGTAGCACTTTGGGAACCAGCAGTTAGCATAATGGCTATGTCGCTGGACTACCACGTAGTCGACCGCGGTTCGTGTCCCGGACCCGGTGGCTTAAAACTTACGCCGGGCGCGTGTGCGTGTGTGCCCAAGATCCTGAGAGGAGAATGGAGGAGAAGGGATTGCGGCGTGACCGTCCCCCCTGGGGGGTGATTTCTCGCTTTCTGTCTCTATGTCTCTCTCTGTCTGACGAGCGCACGCGCCCTACAGTGAAAATCTCTCCAAAAAAAAAAAAGAATAGTAGCACTTTTAGCCTGGGCTGTGCTTTAGGGTGACTCCAGCTCAGATGACACCATTCTCCCATCTGTCCAATGTGTCCAGCCACAGCTCCTGAGGCTCTTCCCACAATCCCCTGTACCCTCATCCTCGGAATTCCCCCCCCCCAGCAATTGGAAAGCTGTGATAATAGACAGCTTGTCAGGGTAAGACAGCTGCAAGTGGCATTGTAGAGACAGGCTGTGAGGGAAACTTGTTGCCCAAGGGCAAGACTGGATAGAAGGAGGGATCCTGGGATACAAGCCCTCAACTCCACAGATGCCTTGGGCTGCTTTGCTACTACTCTGGGAGCCCTAGGTTCTGCAACTGACTCCTCCCTTGCTCCAAACCATACCAACACTGACGTTTCCTTATACACAGCACACGTCAGCAGGGATGCATTTAAAAATCTTTGTCTGATGCTGAATGAAAGGAAAAAGAAAGTTTCTTCAAGATGCCTCTTGAGTCATGAGCCCTGAGGCAGTGGTGGCTCCCACACCAGAGGATGATACATAACAGCTAGAGTTATTTTTACTGCATCAGTAATGGAAGTTAAAAATTGTCCATTTCAGAGCCAATGTGGGGGTATGACACATTTATACAGATGGATTAACAAGGGGACGGTAGCAATTATGTTTCCAGGCAGAGCAGCATGGAATTGGGAGCAGCCACCTTCTCTGTGTGACAATACAATGTTTCCCCATCACTCCGTCTGTTTTCAGAAAGTTGAAGCTGCCAATTGTGTCAGATTGTTGTCAACAGAAAACAAAAATGTGCAAGCTGCTATATGAATTAATTATTGAGATTAAGTACTGTCTCTAGACAGACTTCTAAATTATTTAAAAGATCCAATTTGCTTTCATTGTGAAAAAATAAAAGTCCTTGGATTTCCATGTTTCAGGATAGTTCAAAAACGGAAGAGGGGTCCATGTATACCACAAAAATATAATACAAAATCATGAAAAACCTGCCATTGGTACCTTTCATCTTAAGACTCAGTTACACTTTAAAACTGGACAGAGGGCTGCTCGGTAGGTCTCGTGCTTGACAGCTGTTCCTTTCTCCTATTGTTTTGTTCTAAATGTTTGGCTGTCTCTTATTTTTACCGTTATCTACAGATCATACTTTTTGAGCGAGGGCTCTGTCATCTAAAGAAAAGCACTACATTTAGTGACTTATTTTATTAACATGTTTTGCTTTTATTTTTCTGGGGAGGGTGGCAGGGGTTGGGGGTTGAGGAACAGGTAGGTAAGGAAACATTCCCGGGAAATCTGAGGATTTGTTGAGTCTGTTTTGTAGAAGACCAGGCATTAACCCTCTCAGAACCCGGGTTTTCTCAGCTGTAGAGGGGGGGAATGCCTACCGTCTCTATTTCTTTTGTAGAATCCTCATAGTATCAGGCACTGTCAGCTGACTGACTCCATTTCATTGTGTAGCCCTAGCATAGTATCTGCAGACCACAGACTGGTGGAAGATGGTTTGCTTGGTGGGATTTTCTGTATGTCCTCAATAAATTAGGATCTCATCCACAGCTGCCATGCCTGGACAGGAGCCCAACCCAACTCCAGCTTCCATTTGCTGGGAGAAAAAAAAAAAAATGCAACCTGTCTGTTGGTCTTCATCGCCACCCAGTGGTCTGTTGGCCAAATAACATCAAATTATCTAGTAGATTTGAAACACCTAAGAAAATTATTTCAACGTAAACCATATGAAACTTTAATCCACCACCTAATTAAATGTATTCAGGAGCGCCTATGTACAGAAACCCATTCTATAAAATAAAAATAATCGTGTTGCAATAAGTTCCCTAATTCATCTTTGTAAACTAAGAAATATACATATTAACGATTTCTGTAAAACAAAAAACTTATAAAAAAAAAAACTTTTACTATCTGAAGACACTTGTGAGACTTCATTAAATAGCTCCCATTTATTTAAGACATTTGTCCAGATAGAGATGAAATGTTACATTTTAAAATTAATTCATAGACTTAAATCCATGTTCTCACATGGTAGAGAGCATGAGGTCTTTGGAGTTCCTTCTTGAGAAAGACACTAATTCTAATAAAATAGGGCCCTACCTGTATGGGCCCTACTCATTCAACCTTAATTACTTCCTTATTCCCACTGAAGTTACAGCTTCCACCTATGAAGTGGTGGTGAGGGGAGTCGTGCAGACAAAAAATTCAATCCGTAGGAAAAACAACCAGAAAGAAACCTGAACCTGTCCAGTTATGGGAGACCAAAGCCCCACCTTCCTTCCCATCCACCCACATAAACCGAAGAGCTCAGCTATGGTGCTCTATGAGCACCATAGTCTAGAAGAGACAGAAGGGGCGGGAAAAGAACTGAAGTGTGTGGTCCCCTCCTGGTGGCAGGCCTGTGGGGCGCTTGCCTCCCTTCTTGGTAATTCTCACACCAACCTCACCAGAGAGAGGTTTGGGGGCTAAGGGGATCCTGGCATTGCTCAGCACAGGAAAGCATTCCTAAGGAGGGCTGAGCTCAGGACCCAGGCCAGGAACACTGCCAGCCAGCAAGTCCTCGTGAGCCCTGGAGGGTGCTCTTCTCCAGCCCTGGTCTGCCTCCTCAGTAAGGCGGGTGGATGCTTCATCCACAGGTTGTTCTGAGGATTACGTGAGATCATGCTCACAAACCACCGGGCCCATGCCATGCTAATTAAAGGCTGGTTTCCCTCCTAGGCTTCCCTCCAAGAGCCCACACTGAGCTGGGAAGGCAGCCTCCCTGAAAATAACTAAGCATTGGCCAGGCCAGCGTGAAAGATTACAGGGAACAAAATGAATGAAAACTACATTCTTTTTACTGATCCAGACAAAAAGTGCTGTCCTCCCAGCTGGGTAGATTTCAAGCCAGCCGGGGAGGGAATGCGCCCCTTAGCAGGTTGGAGGCACTAGAGCTGCGATCCCCATAATCTGAGAACGCCAGTCCTCAGCCATGAACCCATCTCAGGCACTGGCCTCACCACCCTCCCAGTCACCAACACTGAAGCCCTCAGGGACACCCTCCACTTATCCCCTCACTCACTCCTCACAGCCACTCAGGCCTGTCACTCCTGATCACCACATCTCTGGAGTTGGGTCCTTGCTTTGAGTCCAGTCCCCTGCACAGCTTTGCTGGGAGTACTGATGTCTGTCACCAGTGGCCCCTTACTGGGCTGACTGGTCTCCAGGTCAGGTTCGTACCTGGCATCTTCCACACACACAACTGTGTTACCCAGAGCTCTCCAAAGAGACAAGACCCCCCACCCCAGATAGACAGATGATAGGCAGGTAGGTAGACTGACGTGAGAGGAGATCTATTAAGGGAGTTTGCGTGATTGTGGAAGCTGAGAAATCCC